TTCAGTTTTCTCTATGTAATCTTTTTTATCAATTAATACGGTGGTATTGCCTTTGTCTGCTTTTGTGGTTATAACATTGTTTGCCCTTAGCTTTTCTTTGAGCCCTTTTATGGTTTGGTTTTCGTTCTTCTGCTTCCTAGTTTTCTTGGCATTTATGTCTTTTCCAATTATGTGCCGACATATGTGTCTGGCGTGCTCCTGTTCTTCAGTTGGAAGCCGTGATATAATAACTTCAGTATTCACGATAGTTTGTTCAAGTTCCCTCTTTTGGTTGTAACTTTCAATGTTGTGTTTGAGGCCTTTTTTTAATAGTTCTGCTTCTTGCTCATTGATGTAAACCTCCGTCAAGTTTACAAATCGGGAGTGGAATTTCTGTTCTGCATCTTTCATGATTTTGTGGTTGCTTTGCTTCGCCCTCAAGTTAACGAGTTTTTATGTATGCCTTTTGCCCGCGCCGCTCAAAGAGTCGCAATGGCCGAGTGGTCAAAGCATTAGGCTGGCAGCCGAGAGGGTCCGGGTCCAAGTCCTCCTCGGCCGAAGAGGATTTTTATTTTTTTTTATTTAGTATTTTTTTATTAGTTTTATTTTTTTAACAATCTTTAGATTTTAATGTAAAAAAAAAATGCAATACATTTGTATGATATTAAAGAATTTGGATTTATTTCCTAGTGAAATTCTTGTTGAACAAATTTCCTCGCATTTTCGCGTTTTTTTAATAAAATGGAAAGAAATAAGTTTTTCCTCCATACTTCTATTTTTGTGACCGGCTCTTAGCCAGCTGACAAATTAGTGACTAGAGGCGTGAGACTAGAGACGCCAGACAGCGTACTGAATACCAAATAGTCTCAAAATCCAAGTTCACCACCAAAAGTCACTATTAGTGACTAGAGACCGCTGACTGAATTCCAGGGCATGTTTTATTATGTAATTTATTCCACTCTGACTCAATATCGTTTTTATCGCCATACAAATCAGTTCTATGGAAATGGGTGAGAATATAATTAAGACTGGGTCTAATTTGTGATGTAGCAATTTTAGGATGAAGCTCGGCCATCGTTTTGAGTGTCATTAAGTTATCAGGCAATCGGATTTGTATATTTTCAGCTAAATAGATCAAAAAGTTTTTGCATCTCTCTCGTACATCTTCCAAGTCTTTTAAAGTAATATTTTTAGCAATACCCTCGAATTCATACCAAAGTAAATAGATCCCGTATGCATTATATGAGATTCAAAATCAAAATCTGTAAAATTGGCGTCCTTGACTCTCTGCAACTGGCTCGGTACTACAATTTTTTTAAGCAAATCTTTATACATCAAATCTTCAAAGAGTTTCATGGGCTCAACTTTATCACTCTGAAACAACATGTATAAGTGAATCAGATTTTTTAGTTCATATTTTAAAAACATCAAAACGCTTTGTATGGCGTTCGTGACATTGTATCATGTAACAGATACTATTTATGTGAGTAGAAAAATAACTTTCTAAAGCTTTTCATTGATCTACAATTGTTTCAATGGCATCAAAACGCGCCAGCCAACCAGTGCCACAGAGACCTTGATTCTTCTTACAGTTTCGACCATAATACATCTCCTCATACATTTTTTTGTATTATTCCCAGCGCTTGAGACTATTCCAAAAAAAGTTATGTGCTTCTCTAACAAAATGATCAAGGCGACTGGGAAGTACAGCAGCTGCGTTTTCTGCACACAAATGGAGAGAATGACAAACACATTGTATAACAATTAGATCGCTCAACGCATCACGTTTAAAAATAGCAGTTACAGAGTTATGCTTTCCCCACCATGAAACTTGCACCATCAACACCAATTCCAACCATATTTTGAATTTGTAAATTGTCTTCTCTCAACTGAGACTTTATCGCTTCGTGTACAGTTTTCGCATCGCAGTTAATTAATTTAATTTGCCTATAAAAAGTAGTTACCACTTCTCGTTTTCTTACGGAGAAAAATCGTATCATGATACACAATATATTTTGAGTTGAAGCATCAGTACTTTCATCAACTGTTATTGAATACGGAGAATCCCCTATTTCTTCAATAAGTTCACTAAGCATGCACGGTCCTAGTATATTCTTGATCAGCATGGTACATTTAGTCCGGTGTAGTTTCAATTTTGCTAATGTATCCGATAATGGATCCAATTGAGGCAACAAACTAACCATATGATCTACTACTTTTAACGAGCAATGTTCGGCAATAAATGCAGTTATCAGTCACTGCGGATTTAAAAGTGGAATCCAACTTTTTACTTTGAAGAGCGGATTTGTCTTTTAGTACCGCATTCTCGTGTTTCTTGCTTCTAGAATATTGAACCAAATCCTTTTTATGAGCTGATAGTGAACGCCGAATCCGATCGTCCAGTGGGATCAGGTGCGATCCAAGCTGTTAATAATAATAATAATTTTATATAAATGAAGAGGTATACATATATGTATATTAAAAACCTTTAAGTTCATCTTCACTTTCCCACTTTTTTGTATATTTTTGGCAATAGCCGGTAGAAACTTTGAATGCTTTCGACATTTTCTGCCATTACCACCAATTTTAAATACTAGAAAGACAACATCGTAATCGATTAATTGGAAGATAAATGTTGCCCTATCGAACATCCATATATTTTTATGGCCTGTAAGTAGGAATGGTCGATATTTAAGAAAGTATAAATATCAGGAATCGATTTAATTCATTTCATGTAAAATCGATATGGCGATATATCGGGCTGAGCAATACCGATATCGGAAAAATCGATGTTGAAAATCCTACTCCCAATTGAATAGAATGTTAGACCTGCCTGTCGACTCACCTAATTGTGTTATTTCCATCTTGTATATTTACTGAGGATTAAAACGGCATGGTCGACTAAAGCGGTTTGTCAAACTTAAGAGCTAAATAAATCACACAAGCTGCTGATCAAACCTACTTTAGTATTTTCCCATACACTTTTTTGTAGATCAAAAATAAATTTCAACTTAAATATCGATATTGCGGGTAAAGTATCAATGTCTTCGATATATCGACCTTGGAATATCGATTCAAAAAATCGATTATCGTGCCATGAAATATCGATATTCAGAATAATCGATACGATATCGAACATTCCTAGCTGTAAGCAGCTCGATAAATCGATAAGCAATCATTTTTTTATACAATTACGCAAAAAAGATGGGTTTTTATTTGCCGTAACAAAAAATCTCATCACTTAGGAAATTAAATTCAACGAACCAATAGTAACAGCCCTACTCCGGTTTTGCAATAGAATGACAATTGATCATCCTTCATTGTCGTGATTTTGCCATTGTCATTGCACGTTGGCATTCCTAAAAAAAAATGACAAGCGAAAAGCTTCTGTCAACTTACCATGCATGGTGAAAAGTTCATTGTTGTAGACACAGCTGGTCAACGCTATTATTTGCAAAAAATATGAGCGGTGTAACACCAGAAAAGTGAGTATTTGTGTGAAATAAATAAATTCGTATATTTATAACATTTATAAACATTTTAGACGTGCAAAATATGAGCGGACGACGGAGGAGCAGCTGCAATTTTATGTGCAGTTTTGTAGGGAGCATCCGGAGCTGCAAAAAGGAAAAAATAATCCGTGCTCCCCAAAACTGATACAATCGCTCTGGACGCAGATGGCTGACAGCCTAAACGCCATGCGTGGTCCCACCCGCTCCGTAGCAAAGTGGAAAGATGTATGTTTTGTATATTTACATACATACATATATATGTATTTATATCTTTCATTTATGCATGAATACTGTAGGGTTTGTATTTGTGTTATTACCTTTTATTGTACTGTGTTCATTTCAACTTTGTAATTTTGGAAATTTTAGATTTATGTGATTTTTGTAGTTCGTCAATCAAATAGAAAATTTTTATTATTCAAACTTTTCTCGAATTGCTAACAATATAAAAATAAATTAAGTTTTGTTAACTTTTAATTAAAATATTAAAAAGAAATCTTTGGAATCTACTACACATTTGGCGATCCTGCCAGGAGCCGAACCTGGATTCTTCTGATATTGCGCATTATTACCAACAAGCAACTTACCTTTCCGCAAGCGTCTTTCGATTGCTCAAGTAACATTCATTTCCGGAACTTCTGTTTCAACGCTGGAAATTTTATTATTTTGCTTCGGTTCATCAGTTTCTGCCGCCGCTGCATCATCAACGGCCAACGTAAGTAACCTCTCACCGGTTAGTGCGACAGTATTCGTGTTCTTGAATTCGATATCAGCTTCGTTGCCAACTACCAATTACACCGATTAACAGTCAGCAAGTTTACTTTTTCTTGATGGCCTTAGTGTCACTAGAGGCTGTTTAAAATATTTTGTCTGTGGTAATGAACTGATCGGCATCGCCCAGGTGTGCTTATAACACGGGCAGTAAATGTAATAGAAGCAGAGCAGCAACTACCAACTTTATCATTGAAAACAGTTAACAGAGTAACATCAATATTATCGTTATCTGCAGATCAAACAACAGCAACAAAAATAATGGCAACATATCGTAGAATAATTTTATAAATTGTTGAGCTTTACTACTTACATATATATACATATATATTGTACTTAATTTATAATGCAATTATTTATCTCTTCAATCAGTAACCATTTTTTTTATCGGCTAAACACTTTAAATTGTGAACTTCCCTTTCGAGATTTTTTATAGCACCAAACTAGTGTAGCATGACAGCTAAGCAAAACAAAATGTGCACACAATATTAAG